GGAAAGTCTTTCAAAGATGGGACCCAGATGTGGGCTTGGTCATAGAATTTCTAGAAGTAGGGTCAGGAGAGGGTGGCCCTCAAAGCACAGGTGACTTTCACCTGAGCCCCTGATCCACTGTCCAGGGAGAAGTTGGGCTTGGAGGGTAAGAATCAAGTGATTTACATTTCAATGGCTTGAGGAGTTTGAGGACCTAGAAAGAGACCACAGGGCCATAACCTTTAGGATGAAGCCTCGTTTCAAGAGCAAACCCTCCAGATTCAATCAGCATTGTTTGACTGTCGGAGGCAGTGAGTAGCCTCACCTCACAGACTGGACCAGGGTCCTACAAGTGGCTTGAGAGCTGATCTAGGTAGCAAGTGGGGACGTGTACTCTTAAAGAATAAATAAAACCAAACTAAATGCCATTGAGTCAATGCCGACTCATAGCGACCCCCTCCCCCCTTGTGGGTATCTGAGACTGCAAGTGTTTACAGGGGGAGGAAGCCCCATCTGTCTCCCAAGGAGTGGCTGGTAGTTTTAAACTGCAGACCATGCGGAGCACAGCCCAGTGCATAATCACTCTCAACCAGGGCTCTTTAAAGAACACATAGCCACTTACTATAATACAGAGGCCACCAGCATGGAACCAAGCTGAGCACAGCATCGCATACAAATAAACAATAGTTTGGCAAATAGAAAGGCAGTGAAAATTCACGAGAATTTTTACTGCAGACTCAAAACAAAACAATAACAATGGAAACTCCATCATCCGGTGTCTTAAAAATCCAATTTCCTATTCTCTTTTGGTGTCAATATCTCTCCTACACCAAAGCCACCCAAAGACCCTTTTCCTGAGTGAGGGGCTCCCCAAAGCTTGCCTCAGCTGAGTCAATTTCTTTACTATCCCTCTTTCTCCTTTTCCCTGGCCCCTGTATTTTCTTCTCTCCATGGCCTCGCTGTTTCCTGGTTTCAATGTAAATCCTAATAATAATCCCTGGCTTCTTCTAGTTCTCCCCAATCATTTTCCTAAGGCTCCCGATACCACCTAGAAGGGGGTAGGACTTTCCCAACTGGGCATTGGTTACTGGGGTGATGACAATAAGAAAGGCAAAGGGCAGGACCAGATTTCCCTTAAGAGACAAAAGGGCAGTAAATTCACGTGAGCTGATATTTTGTCCATGCCTCCCATGTTAAATGGAAAATGATCCATGAAGACAACCAGGGACACCAGGGATCAGGGGCAAAAAGATTCCCGTGGGCTGGAACATTCAGGGTAAGCTTCATGAGTGGGATTGAACTTGAGTTCGCCTTAGGTGGGGAGACTATGGCTCATTTAGGAAGGGAGGTCTGAGCAGAGGGAACTATAGGCCACTGCACTGAGTCAAGGACCTGCCTACTGTGTTCAGGGGCTCAGCTGACCGGGGGGGGAGGAGGTTGGGGGGGGGGGTTTTCGGTTGGGGGGGCTTTTCGGGCCGGGGGTTTGAATTCTTGTTTTCTTTTTGGCCTTTGGTTTTCCGGCCCCCGGCTTGGGTTTATTGAAAAGGCTTTTTGGTTGGAGAGAGCAGGGATATTGTACAGAGCAGGAACAGGACAGATGGACCCTATTCTGCAGGGCTGTGGACCTTGGCTTTGAGTATTGGGACCACGATTTTCTACCAGAGCGTGAGGAAGTGATGAGGATGGAGTGATGCTGGTCTCCAATGTCTTCTCACGTTCGAAGGAGGAATGGTGGACAGAAAGAGTCACTGAGTCTAATCTCGGCCATAATTGACATTTCAGTCATACCTACTTCAAAGGGGAACTTGCGTGAATCAATAGTATATTGATCTACACTACATTTATTTCCCCCTACATGCTGCAGAAAACTTAATTATCACTTCATTATAAAATTGCCATTTTACAATAACTGCTGATGGCTCAGCCCTCAGCCAGAAAGAAGCTGGGGTGGTGGTCCCGGTCTTGCTTGTGACCCAGGCCCTCAATGCAAATGACCCCCAGAGATAGATCTCATTAGACGCCGGTGCCTCTGGGACTGATGAATATCCCTCCAGTTTGATGAGAAGGCAGAGAAATGGGCAGCTGCCTCCTCCGGTCCACCAAAGACTCCTCCTCTACCACAAAGCCTTGGACAACCCCCTTTTCTAAAGCCTTGTCCCAATGGAGCAGACAGCAGAGCTTGGATTGGAGTCAGGAGACATTGAGGGACACCGGCCCAAGTGATCACCATCTTCCCTTTCTAAGAATCCAGATGTCACAGGTAAAGAGTGTGAATAACGACAAGAGTTATGAGCACAGGGGACAAGACAAGCAGACGTGTAAGCTCTGCTAGCATTCGGGGGAGCGTGGATGAAATTTCCATGCATGGTTTTCCAGGGCAAGAGGGAAACAAATCCACATCTGGTACCAACTGTGGATATGACCAAGCAAGAGAGATGCCTATAGTATACATAGCCATGTAAATGAACCAGCCAAAATTAAATAGTGAGACCATGTTGAGTAATACCTTATAAATCATGGTGGGAAAGAGCTAAATTTTGTTTGATGCCCATACACTTAAGTTATCATCTTATTTCATCCTGGCAACAACCCTTTCCCACCACCTTGAACATACTTGCGATGGTAAGGATGGCACAGGGTATGTACTATCACATGGAGGGTTGCTATGGGTGCTATGGGTTAGAACTGAGGGGCCATGCCAACATCAGGAACAAGTCTCTGCATGAAAAATTGTTATTCCTGGTTCAGTTTGGCTCATGGAGCCGTAGACTGGCTAAGGTACGTGTTCGAGGCGACCCAATTCATAAGGACAGAGAGGGAATGACATGATTCTATTTTAGTTTTACTATATCATAATACAGGTATACTAGTTCAGCTGACCACCCAAGAGAAACCCCTTCCTTCACACCCTTGACACATGGGACACATGGTCATCTACCCCCCAGGGGGTGGTCAGTCCCCTGACCAAAGGAAGCCCAGTCATGGCTGAGAGCGCCAGCTGCTATGCCCATGTTAGAGGGCTGTTCACGAGGCTCTCCTCTCAGCCAATCACATTGATAGTTCAATTTCTTAGGCGTCATGGGTTTCAGACGTCTTTCGCACCCACCCGGTCTCCCCCTTAAGTCCCCTCTTTGACTATTTTAAACACTCATTACAGTTTTGGGTTCTTTGAAAAGTCACCACATCTAGATGACCGAACAACTTGAAGGGAGAGAATTGTACACCTGAAATGGGCCAAACATACCTTAAGGTACCTCCAGATCCCACCAGAACACCTGTTCCTTAGCTCAGAACACCTGTTCCTTCAGAAAACCAGGAGACGGAAGCCATGTCTTAATGGTTAGTACAGAGAGATGCCCAGCACAGTCAATGACTCTTGGGATCATGGCAAACAACCACATGGGGAGGGGAAAGCGGGTGTCCGCACCAAAGCAATTATGAAAAGCCACTTCTTCAACATAGTGAGCATCTTCTCTCCGGAACATGGTAGTAGATCCTGCAGGTACAGTAATGAAGCAAAAATGTCCACCCTGTGCCAGATATGGTAGGCAGGGCTCATTGACATCATATAGCTTGGTGTCTAGGGAGGGATAGCAACAAAGAAGCCAGCCCTTGCTGTCCAGGATGGCAAGTGCTGAGACAAGCATAGTACAGTGTCTTTAGAAACTCAATGGACTGGCACCAACTTAGGTGCCATTGAGGATGGAGCAGGTGGATGGGGTGGGGTGACAGGCAAGGCTCCCCAGAAGAAGTGCTTCACAGGAGAAGAGATATGTAAGGGGTGCGAGTTACAGGACTTGGATAAAAGAAGAGTGTGCCATCGTGGGGAAGGCTCAGCAGTGGGAGGGAGTCAAACCAAATCCACTGCCATGGAGTCGACCTGACTCATAGTGACTCAACAAGACAGAGTCCAACTACCCCTCAGGGTTTTCAAGACCATAAATCTTTATAAGAACAGAAAGGCTCATCTTCTTTCCACAGGATGACTGGTGAAGTCGAATGACTGAGCTTCTGCCTTGCAGCCCAACATATGACCCACTGTTACCCCACGGCTCTGTCAGGGATTGGAAGGCGTTCATTATTGCTAGAGGATAGGATTTAAGGGTAATGGGGAGGGAGGGACTGCCCCAGAAAACCTGGAGAGTGGGCAGAGGCCAATCCCTGCAAGGCTTCCTAAGTTCCTAAAGAGGTTTGAACTTCATCCTGAGCGCAATAGAAAACCATTTGGTGTGTTTTAAGCAGAGACATGATGTATTCCGATGTGCATTTCAGCAAGAGCGTTTGAAGGCAGTATGGAGAATGATAGGAAAATAAGTAGGCGGGACTGAGTTCAGGGAGATGTGTTGGAAGTTCAACACGGAGATGAGAGTGGTCTGAGCTACAGCAACAGCATCAGCAGCAATGGAAACAAGTAGGTGGCTTTGAGGGCTTTTAACAGGTGGAATTGTTTGAATGAGAGAGTATTAAGAGCAACTCGTAATGTTCTTGCTCGGGTCACAGGAAAAGGATGAGTGGAGTTTGGGAAAGTTTCATTTTGAGATTACGACTTGGAATAGACAATAGCACATACTCAGGTCGAGCTCAGGAGGGTTTGGAAACCCTCCATACACAAAGATGACATCCTGTCCTACGTGGAATGACACTCTCCACTAGCAGCCCAGTAACTAATGGACACTGTTAGGTCACTCAAGGCACTATGGGAGATCCCGCCTGTGGTCTGTCTTTTCATGCTTAGGTCTCTGGAGTGGCAGGAAACCCAGGACCCTAAGAAGCACCAGCTGCATAAGAACAAGGACGATGGAGAGTTCTGGTATGTACTCCTCCTTACAAATCAGGTTTTAAGTCTTTATTGCCCAGTTCATCAGCGCCCACACTTTTCCCCAAACTTTTGAGCATGGAGATTCATTTTGCAGAGACCAGAGTAAAGGGAGCCTCTTTCCCCAACCAAAGCACAAAAACATTGGGTGGTAGAGTATCTTTACTCTCCCTCTTTGGGTGAAAGGTTCTTTCAGTCCTGAAACTTTAGAGTTGCCAGGGCTTGTTAATGCTAAGAGGAAAGGTTGTAACCACAGCTCTGAAATACACAATTGGGTGGTTATCCTACTGCTGAAAAGATTTATTTCAAGAAAACTAGCACAAGACTAGTCATAAGAGGGATCAGGTATCAGGCATCAGAGACCCAAAATAAAACAAACCAAAAAACCCCATATCGATATGAATGAGGAGGAGGGCAGAGAGGAGACCCAAAGCCCATCAGAAGTTAATTTGACACCCCCTGTCAGAAGGGTCACAAGGAAGAGCCAAGCCAGTCAGGGTGCAGTATAGCACTGATGAAATATGCAACTTTCCTCTAGTTCTTTGATGCTTTCTCCACCCCCACTACTATCATGATCCTAATTCTACCTTACAAATCTGGCTAAACCAGAACATGTATACTGGTGCAGATAAGAGCTGGAAACACAGGGAATCCAGGACAGACAAACCCCTCAGGACCAATAATGAGAGTAGCGATACCAGGAGGGGAAGGGAAGGGTGGTGGGAATAAGGGGGAACCAATCACAAGGATTGACATATAACCCCCTCCCAGGGGAACAGACAACAGAAAAGTGGGTCAAGGGAGACAGTGGTCAGTGTAAGACATGAAAAAAATAATAATTTATAAATTATCAAGGGTCCGTGGGGTGGGGGGGGATGAGGAGCTGATACCAAGGGCTCAAGTAGAAAGAAAATGTTTTGAAACTGATGATAGCAACATATGTACAGGTGTACTTGACACAAGGGATGGATGGATGGATTGTGATAAGAGCTGTACAAGCCTGCAATAAAACGATTATATAAAAAAGAAAAGACTAGTCATAAGAAGTGAAGGTTAACTATGTCCCCGATGTCCCACTTTTCCAAACTGCTGGACTCCTCCATTACATCACCCTCACGTCCTCTTTGGGATATTCGCGCCCCTCTCAGAGTTCCGGCATTCACCACAATGGCCGCCCACAACTTACAACATGAAGGAAGATGGCTCGTGGCGTGTGGGCGCCACTAAGTCCCCAATGCAAAATTCAGACTTTCATCTGGAGGTCCGTCCTCATTCCCAAGGCTGAGGAAGCTGGTGAAAGTAGACCAGGAGGCCCAGCCGAGCAGGCCAACCAGATGCAGGGCTTGAAGCATGCACTCTCCTCCCGGCTCACCTCTCATGCTAGTAGTGAGATCCCACCCCTTGCTTCTCTGCTGACCCTCCTGCTAGTCAGCAGGATGGGACTCACTCACAGTGGAATCGTATCTTCCTCCACCTCCTACACGGACCCCTCAGGGAGACTCACTGCTCACACATCTATCTTCTGTCCTGTCTCTTACCTCTCCTTGGGAGCATGGAGCGGCACCACCTCCCCTAGCATAATTCTCCAGCGCCAACAGAGCCTTGGTCTCCAAGTCCTGCCTCCAGAGTTCTGGGGGAGACAGCAGTGTCACCACCCAGAAGTTAGGCATGACTAGAGGTTTTAAAGGCACCTTCTTGGCTATCTACTCACATGTTGGGAGGATAAAATAGGCATTTCTCTGAAGGGTTGTCTGGTTTACTTTTGTGACAATATTTAAATGAAATCGGCAGGTGTCGAATAGGAGCCTGGGTTTAGTTAATGAGGAGCCCGCGAAGGGACAAATGGCATTTAGCAGGTAAAAGTTCTCCATGGCCTCCACTTTCATCACAGGAGAAGGTGAATTTGAGATGCTAAATCCAATTTCTCCTGATAAAAGATGTCCCCAGTGAACTGGGGGCCAAGGGTCCCTGGGGATGGTGACTTCCCAGGCAGCATGTAGAACCCTTTGCTCTCCTCGGGGGTGTGCTTAGCTGCAAGACAGTGGCTCATGTGACTGATTGGGGGAGAAGTAGCTGTTGAAGATGATTAAGCTCCACTCAAGTGCTCAGAGACTTCCAGAGTCCAGAATATGACTCTCTCCTGGTCCTCCCAGGCACCGAAGGGAGAGATGTATAAAGGAGCGTGAGTCCCAAGGTGGTGGAGTGACTTTGGGGAGAAGAATGTGGCTCTGGTCTTTGGGTAAGACAGCTATGAGCCAATGCACATTGAACTACAAGGCCGGGCCCAGTGCAACGATGTGATATGACACCTGCCCTCACTTCTTGGGACAAGAGCAGTGGTCACGTCATAGTGTCTGTTTTTTAACAGGATTTCGTGTCGGGATTTCCAAGACAACTTCTCCAGGCTTATAATCTGTAACCAGATTCCAATCAGCCTGGACCATGGAAACACGCTGCATGAAAGATGGTCTGAAATGACGCACGAGAGCCAAGGTACCAAAGGAAATGCGGCAGGTCGTAGCACACTGAGAGTTACTCAGTCTGCCCGAAGCTGCAGCCCAGGTCCTGCCCTGGGCTCAGCTATCGCTACCCCCATGATTCCAGACCATCAGGCTGAAGCCAAACAGAGAGATGGGGTTGGCAGCTCCCACTTCTCCCAGGGCAAAGATGGCTGGTGGGAGGCAGGCAGGAGCACTTGAAATGGGCCCCCCCTCTCTCCGTCCCTTCATGCCAACACACAAAGACTAGAGTCTCTCTTATTATCAAAATAAGAGACTTCACAGACATCAAATTGCTCAACTTCACAGTCTGGAAAACATGTTCACCAAAGAGGGACTACACTCCCCACTTGGTGCGTTGACAAGAGATTGGGCCTCAGAACATCAAAGAGCCACAACCAGTGGGGGCAAGGAACCCAGGCGTCAGATCTCCAAACCAGAGTTCATTCCTTACTGACCAGGACTCCTAGACCAGGACAGGAGCCCACAGGGAGTTGGGGCAGGGCCGCGCCTCAGTGATGGGCCTCTCTCTTGCAGAAGGCCCTTGGCAGGACCCTCAGTACTTGTTCAGTGTCCAAGACCCCACGGAAGGCTACAATGTCATCGTGTCCTTCACCATCCAGCCACAGAGTTTGACATCGACCAAAAGGGAAATTCCACTCACCTTCCGAGTGTTCAAGGTAATGTTGGCTTGCCTCGGGGAGTGCCCTTGGGGACAGTTGTGGATACTGTGGGCATGGGAGGACATCCTCTCTGCCTCTGACTCTTTGAGGAAGTCACTAGAAGATGGACACACCACTAGGGAACTGCTGGTGTGACAGATCTAAGCCAGAGGCACCAAGGCAAGACATTGCCTTGTGGTCCAACTGGTCTCCTTCTTGCCCTCTCCCTTCTCTAGACACCCCTGACTTCTGTAAGCACTCCTTCTCCTACCCTCCACTCACCTCTGCCAGGCACCCTTCCGGGAACTGCCTTTGTGCGCACTCGAGCTCGGGTTGGTTGCCATGACTGGAAACCCAGACCCCTGACTGATCCAAAGGTTCCCAAACTTATTTGGCCTCCCACTCTCTTTTGGAGGGAAAAAAAATTGCTCAGCCACCCCTGGAAATTCAAAACAATGTGTACGAGAGCCCATCCTCCTGATGAAAGTCCAGGTATCTGCTTTTGCAGCACCACCACCACCCCCTCACCCCTGGATGGTTCCAGCACCCTGGCGACTTTGAGAAGCTCATCGTCAGAGTCCCCTAAGTAGAGCATGAGGCTCAAAGGAAGTGATTTGCCTGGTGCCATTATAGCTCAGGAAGATTTGTCAATGCCGCCAAGCCCATTTCCCTCCGTGTCACCCAAGGATGCATCTGTCTCATCTGCCCGCTCTGCTAAGAGGCACATAGACCCCAGATCGCTTTAAGGTCCCTGGAGCGCCCAGGAAATTGTTTAGGATCCCAGTTAAGTGAAACACCAAAGGCAGTCCAGCCCTTGACAACACGGAAGACGCCAGGGTTCCTTTCACGGTGTGGCTGCCAGACTCTCTGAAGTTTCCACGCCTTTGGTGGCATTTGTGGGTAGAGAGCTGGCCCTGGGTCCATCCCTACAGTGGCCTCAGGCTGACAGAGCACTCGCTCTCTTACATCCAGCCAAACACGGGCGGTGTGTCAATAGGTGTGACAGCACTGTCGCGAAGGATAAGGGTAGACAAATGGTTTCAGCCTCACCCCTACAGTCCCCACCGCCCTGCTGACTCACGTCTGGGCTCCAGAGACGTCTCCCTGGGATAATCACCAGGTAGTGGTTCTCAACCTTCCTAATGCTGCGACCCTTTCATACAGTTCTTCATGTTGTGGCGACACCCCAACCATAAAATTATTTTCATTGCTACTTCATCACTGTCATTTTGCGGCTGTTATGAATCAGAAGACTCCTGTGAAAGGGTCGTTCAGCCCCCAAAGGGGTCTTGGACCAAAGGTTGAGAACTGCTGCGGTAGACGCAGATACAGCTTGGCAGCTGGAATGGCGGAGCAAAAAGACAAAACCCACCTCACCTGCAGGAGGTGGGGCCTGATGATAACAAGAACAGCCAACCCTTTGCCCACCTGGTTCTCGATGCATGGAGACTCCACATGCCTGGTGGTAGTGAGGCTTCATTACACAGGAAACAACACCACTTGCTCCATGCCTCCTTCCGCTTCAACAGCAGGGCCTCGGTTTCTGCGTGCATAAAATAGGGAGACTCCAGTCAGCCTGCAGTATCATTGCAATGCGCCAACGTTGCAGTGACTTCACATTGCAATGCCCACAGACCCTCCAGTGACTTCAAAGTGAGGTTGCAGCCCCAGTGCTGCCCGCCCCCCTACCGAAGGGAAAGCACAGGTGTGGGCCCACTCAAAAACACCTGCATCCCTACCAGCTCCAGGGCCCTCAGGCCAACACCCATGCCTATAGTCAAGTGGCCTCGTGGGATTCGAGCAGTGTAGTTCTCATTGGGGTCCTCCATGTGGAGGAGTTGACATTTGATTCCAGTCCAGTCTCCGCTGCAGCCTTGGTCTCGTCCCTCCCACTTTCATGGCCATCCCTGTGAATAGTAACATCACCTGGCTGCGCTGGCAAAGGTTGTGTCCTGTTCCTTGTGGACACCTCCTCCCTTTCCTGGATTTTCCTCCCTTTGCTGCCCCTGGGACTAGTTGGGCTTTCTTTCTTACAGCTCTGCAGAGGGAGTGAGTCAGCTACTTGCTCACCCCAGGTCTGCAGGGAACAGGCTATGTGCACACACGGGAGGGGGAGGAGGGTCCTGAGCCTGACGCTGCTCTGATCATCCCACCGTCTGGTTTGCGTTGGGGTTACTGAGCCTGCTTTTCCTCCTCTTTCCCACAGGTTGACTCCCAGGTACGGTTCGATGTCACCCTCAGCTCTCTGCTGGGCTTCCCCTGCCTTGGTTACACTCCGGTGGTAAAACACTATGTCTGTTCCAACATCCGTGGTCTTCACATGTGCCTGGCCACAATGAGTGCAGATTCCTCTTTGCTATGAGTTACAAGACACAAGCTTGGATTCTCCAAATAAGTCAAATATGTGTCAGAATACGTTCACTGTGCTGGTCTAAAGGTTGGACCTGTTGGACTGTTCTCTGGGTTGACATTCAAGAAGGGCAACAGATGTCTGGGCCTTAGGCAGAGAGATTGATGGTGTCTTAGTAACGGACCACTAAAGAAACAATACTGAGATAGGCAGGCAGACAGACAAGCAGACATTTACTTCAAGGTATTGGTCAATATGTAGATCAGTGGTGAGGTGGAGACTCCCATAGACTCGTGTCCCAAGATGTGTCGGTCAGACAATGAGAAGAGGGTCAAAGAGAAAGAGAGAATTCTGCCCAAATATCTATGTATTGACTGGAGACAGAACACACCGTATGGGAACTTCCTTTTCAACTGATGGACTGATCAGACTACATTATAGAATAATAAGTAGACTGATGTTTGGCCACACACTGGGAACCATCGCCTAGCTGGCACATAAAATGAGTCGTCGGTCGTAGTCGGTTATTTTTTCCTGTAAGATGAGAGATAGTGGCAAGGCTGAAGGGACACTTGAGCCTCTCACATTCTACCTCGGGCCCAAAGCCATCACACACAGGGTGCAGGCTTGAAAAGACAGCTTCCAGGCACATCTTCCAGCTCCTATCTCCACCACACCGCTGCCCTTCCTGAGAGATCTCCAGGGACACCACTGGTGACAGGCAACCTAAAACTTTGACTACAGTTGGAGAAGGATGGATAGAGCTCAGAAAACCTGGCCTTACTGGCACCCAGTCCTCTTAAAGCAGTGGTTCTCAACCAGTGGGTCACGACCCCTTTGGGGCTTCGAACGATCCTTTCACAGGGGTCATCCGATTCATAACAGTAGCAAAATTACAGTGAAGAAGTAGCAACAAAAATAATTTTATGGTTGGGGGCATCGCCACGACATGAGGAACTGTATGAAAGGGTCGTGGCATGAGGAAGGTTGAGAACCACGGTCTTAAAGGGTGTGAAATCTGTGGTCGGTCTGTCTGCTGCCAAGGGGTTGGGGTCAGGAAGGAGGTAGCAGATGTGACCACAGCAAACAGCTGGTGCTGGTGGCAAGCAAATGGGATAGAGGAAGGTCCTCCAGGCCTCCCAGGCATGCCCACCTGACAGACAGAGCTCCGGACAGGGGACTCCGAGCCAGAGATGCATAGAAGCCAAGGTAGACAGCCAACAGCAAGGCTGCCAAGAAGGTCCGGTTTAGGGTCTGACTCTGGCCCCTGCTATCCCAGCAAGGTAGGAATGGATTGCCTAGGAGGGTCTCAAGGGAAGCAGTCTGGTCAAGGTACAGGTAGGCATTTGAATTCCCAAAGCTGGAGAATTTGAGTGTCTCAGAAACAATACAAGCCCGGCCCTAGAATTAGGTAGCCAGGTCTGTGTGAAGCTAGTCCTATATCTCTTCCAAGCCCTGGGCCAAGACCTCTTCTCCCACCCCTCACATACACACTTCTATCTACCACTGAGCAGATCTCTTTGAAGAATTTGGGGCCTGAGCAGAGCTATAAGACAGCAGAGAAACCCTCAATTTTCATAGCTACACACACAGGCTGCCTCTCATGCTCACACACCCAGAGCCGCAGGACTGCAGGAAGAGCCAGAGCAGGCTGCATCTCTCACCGCGTTTGCCAGGGGGACTTAAAGCAAATCAGGCTCCCAACCCTCCCGCAGCTCTGTCAGCAGAGGTGGTTCCACTAAGCACCCTGCTTCACCTCTGGCCCAATGGCCTGTCCCTGCCTCTTCTTATAGCCCACCTCTGGCCCCAAGCCTGAAAAGTAACTCCCCCCAGCCCCCGCCCCGGTTATTTTCCCCAAAGGCAGGCCTGGTAAATAACCATTTCACACAATGTAACCCGTCTAAATGGAATCCCCCAGGCTCGACCTTCTTGGGGAAATTTTGTTTAGTAAGGGGTTTTTTATTATTCAATAGCTATGTGACATCTGGTAATAGGAACAGCATTATATTTATTGTTTTATCTCTAAGAAAATATTGAAATAAAAGGAAAATGATCAGGGCCTCTTAGTCACCAATGAGAAGGGATTTCGGGGCTCTGCAGGAAAGATGCAACAGAGGAAGCCTAAGGAGGCCCCTTGGCCTTGGTCTAGCACCCAAAGAGTGTTTGACAAAAGATTCAGGAAAGAGTGGGCTCCGGGGTCCCCAGGGTATTCAGTGTTGACCGTGTCGCTAGTGCCACACTTTATTGATAAGCAGAGAGACCAACCCTGACCACCAGGAACCTAGGATGCGGTTTCTTCGCGTTCGCCTTGATCTCTCAAGTCTAAGAGGAAATCATTCAGTGAAACGCTGCCAGTTTCTAGAGGTTCCGAGAAGCACTGTCTCCCTTTTCTGGGGGAAAGCTATGGCTGGGGTTTTCCTGGGTAGTGCAAATGGTTAACACTTTTTGCTGTTAAGTGATCACTTGAAGGTTCAGGGCCACCCAGAAGGGCCTCCAAAAAAAAGTCACAACAAGCTACACCCCGAAAATCACAGCCATTGAAAAGGCGCTGCGTAGAGCACAGTTATCATCCGACACTCCTGGGTGACCGTGATCAGTCCTGACTCCATGGCAGCTGGCTAATGGTGTCTGGGTGACCGAGGAGGGGTGGGGAGGACCTCTCTGAGTTTGGGGCACTGAGGCCCACGAAGGGACTTCCTCATGTCCCTCACTGTCACTTGTTCTTCCAGTTCCAACAGTTCCAGGAAAGACTGCCTCCCAAGTTTTTTTCCCAAGGCCGAGCTCATGTCCAGGGCATGCACTTGAAAACCAAGTACAACGTCACACGGTACTTCCACTTGAGCCCCGGGACCTATGTCGTGGTCCCCTGGACGACCAAAGATGAAGTTGGATTCTTCCTCCGAATCTTTGTGAAACTGTCATCCATGGACAGGTACAGGCTCTGGGGGCTTCTGAATGTTTTTTCCCCGGTTTCGTGTGTGTCCATGCATGGCGTCACTGTGTGTGCTGTACTGGGCTGACCTCGGTGGCCGCAGTGGAATCCACACACCACCGATAGGGTGGGGCCGCTGCTAGGTGGACATGAAGTCTCAGGACAGTGCAGGGTGGAGAGCAACACTTCAGGCTGAGAGACTGGGGAAAAGGGATCTGAGCTGGTCCTGGAAGCGAAAGCATCATTTCGCTCTGTAGGAGTGAGGGGGTGGGAAGGCAGCCATAGCGCAGGGGACGGCCTGAGAAGCAGGGCAATGAGGGGGTGCAGAGCCTGGTGAGGAATAAGCGAAGTTAACCATATATACAGCATGTCAGCTGTATATTTAGCATGGCAGCCCTAGATACAGCATTCCAGCCATATATATAGCATGTCAGCCTCATATACAGTCTGTCGCCTGTATGTACAGGATGTCAGTAGTATATATAGGTGCTATGTGGCCAATGGGGCAAATCTCTGAATGTAGTCTGAATGTGGGGTAAACCAGATGGGCAGTGAAAGACAGTATCAGATCATGGAGAGTCTTGCCCCGATCAGGACTGAGATGGAGGATGGACAACAGAGGTTTTGGTGGGATCCGCCTCCTCTTGGACCCAAGATTCATCATCTGAATCACAGTGAGCTTCACACAAGGGCACAGGTGAAGGCAGCCAGCACACTACCAGTGAGGGCTGGACCATAAGGAGCACTTATTGATGGCCCTGGCAATGGGAGTCATTGTATATGAATTATCTGGTAGTGAACGAAACCATTTACCAAGTAGCCTGCCAACTAGATCATGTCCATCCCAAAGGCTGATATGTCCATCTGCTGACTGCCATGGCTGCCCACTTCTCCTGACAATGCCAAGGGCCCCCTCTAGGCAGACCCTTTGGGGTCATTGTCCAACGCCACCTCAGAGGTCCTCCATATGCAGGCCTCCTTTGAAGAGTGGGCTGATCATCTTTTTCACATCCCCCCACTTTTTTTTAGGAACCTGGACAGCAATTTCAACCTCAGAGAAGTGAAGGTAGGTGTGTAGCGAGGCTCCGTAAGCAAGCCTCATTGGCCACATCTCATCTCCAAGAGCTTCCATCTCCTCCCTGCCTGCCCCAGAGGCAGCATAACCTGGGACGAGGCGGGGGGAGAAGACCAGTCTTCTAAGGCGACACTGGGCCCAGTCCCCCCTGTTCCCAGACTTCCGTGTTCCCGTTCCTCCAAAGTCCCTGGAGACCTCTAGCTCCGAACCAGATGGGGGTTCTTGTGCCCTTGGTGTATTACCCACGTGGTTCCTTCCCCAGAAGCATACTGTTGGCTAATTCCCCTTTGTTTCAGGCCAGCCAAATCCAGCAAAACATTTTCCAGCGATATGCTCAGCAGGTACAGTACCGGACACCGAGGGCCCCGACACCGAGCGGGTGGTGGAGAGACCCAAGGGCAGGGACTGCCCACTCAGGACAGTGTCAGCGCGTAGGCCTGCCCCCTAGGGTTTTCTGGGCTGTGATCCTTCCAGGAGCAGCCTTGCTTCATAGCACTTCTGCGGGGCTTCGAGCCACCCACCTTTGGGTTAGCAAGGTGTGCCCCTGGGAGACAGGGAGAGGAAGCCTGGCTAGAAAAGCCATCTTACCAGCCTCTCTCCCTGGATCGTCTCCAGAGGGGACAAGGCTGCCCAAGTGCAGAAAAGGGCCCCCACTTGGGTGACATCTGGGAGAGAAGAGAAGCTCAGACAGGGAGAGATGACATGTGTGTGCACAAGCGGGCGCGCGCATGTGTTATAAACCTTTCAACAAGCCGCTGGCACCGACCCCTGCAATTTGTTCTTCTGCTCCGCCACCTCCCTGCCAACCTTGGCGGTGTTCCTCCAGAGAGCTGGCCAGCCTCACAAAAGAGTGTTCTTCCTGCCAAGCCACCCTGTGCACAGGAGATTTCCGTAATGGTTTAATAAACCGTTATAAAGAACTCCTTGACTTGTCAGGATAAAAGACACTGCCAAGGTCTCCACACGATGGTCCCCTTTCCGTTAAGAGTCCCGTCCGGTGGGAAGTAGAAAGTAATATGATCCTCGTGTGTGCCACGCTCCCCTCGGGCCAATCAGAGGCCACGGATGGAGCGGCTGCCTGCGGGCCTCTGCATCCAGGGCATTAATGGGGCAGTGGGAACAAGGAGGCAGGTCTGCAGCCCAGGGGAGCCAGCAATGAGAAGCGAGGGGTGTGGCTGCAGTGGGGTACAGTGCAAGCAGGAGCTGAGCTTGGGGCTCCTGGAGAGGACTGTCCACTCGGGATTCTGGTCTTCCAGCTGCATCGACGCGGGCACCACTCCACAAGATGAAGCTTCCAGAATGACTGACTCCAGGGTACAAGCTCCTGGAGTCTGGGATGACATCATGAGCATTCCTTGTCCCCAATACTTATCCCGGTCCTTGGCACAGAGGAGGTGCTCAGTCCACTTTGTTGAGTTGAATGGAGACCAATTCACTCCCCCAGGGCAGCTGCAGGGGCTAGGCCTACGCGCAGGATGGCTTCAGCATTTCTCATGGCTGGTCCACGCACTGGCACATCTAAAATGACTCTTACAACAGATGAGCTACGTGCTATAACGGTGCCGGTCCATAACAGGGGCTTTTCCACACAATAACCAAGTGCCTTCTCGTTGAGCGTGACCGGAAGCCCGCACGGCAGGCTCTTTGCAGAAATTCGCATCAGGCACTGTGCGCAGCTGGTCAGTGGAACCCAGAGTAAATTGCTGTCCATTTTTGCCCTTGGCTGGGCATCCATGAGCAAGGTCAAGCTGGCACCGTCCTATACAACCTGAGAAACCTCCTCGAGGGCTATGTCTTCAAAAGAAAGCGTAAACAAAATAGCCATTCATGTGTGCAGTCTTCTCCCTCGGTCTCTCACGTCAACATGACTAGTCTTAACCTGAGACCGCGGCCAGCTGCTGTGAAACCATCCCAGATGACACAGCTCAGAATGTCACTCTGTGTCCCCAGTATAACATGGAAGGCAGGAAGCGCCTCCAGACGTCTCTCTCCCCCAACCTCAGTTACTTCTTGTGGTTCGTCTACGTAAAACCGTGAGACGTCCCCTTTTCCTTCCACGGCTGGGCAGCCTAGGGTTCTTGTCATGTACTCAACCACAGCACCGTCTCCTCCCATAAATGTAAATGACTTTTATCTCCCTTACCCTACACACATAGCAGGAGGGCACATGTGCACGCGGACACAGACATACACGTCATAGATTCTCGTCATCTCTTTCTGATAGGAGTCAGAGAAACGTACTTTACAGGCTAAAGTGATCCCCGCCACACCCTTTTCCTGAGGGGACCCAGGTGACAGGTGTGGTGGGGGTGACCAGACCCTTCTCTGGGTTCAACAATGAAGAAACTCCAGGCAGCTTCTACCAGTTGTCACATGCCAGGAGTGGCCAGGGCTCCTGGGGGAGAGGCCAGGGCCCTATGAGGCGGGCACGTGGAGGGAGTGCAGGGCTTAAGGACCCTGTGTGCCCAGGTGGTCCTCACCACTGATCTTGTCTTGCCTTCCTCCTTTGGGGACAGAAGCCGGACATCGACGCCCCCCAGCTTCAGCACCTACTCAATCAGGAACTCCTGCAAGGTAGGACCACCCCCAGGGCTGGGCCAGCCCCACGCCAGCCCCACAGTCATTTGGCCCCTTCCTCTCCCTTCCCCAGGACTCCCAGGGGACACATTCTCCTTGGATGAGTGCCGGAGCATTGTGGCGCTGATGGACGTATCCTTTGGCGGTTGTGCCTCCCCTCGCCCACCATGCCCTACTCTCAGACCTCCCCAGGGGGCTCGTTAGGGCTTTAAGGAGACCCCTCTCTCCATAAGCCTGTTCTCCTTAGCTGAAAGCATTCACCCAAGAGTCTGGGAGCTGGGGGTTCTCCACGAGCTCACTGCTCAGTGCACCCACAGCGACAGTGACCTTGGCAATGGCTGCCACCAACTGTGCACCAAGAACTGTGCTGGGGCACTTCTTTTCCCCTTGTCATTCCGGCAACAACGCCTGTATCGTGAGTACATCTTACTCCATTTATACGATGGAAGAAACCGGTTGAATCATTTGCCCAAATCACATAGTTCACCAGGACCCCTGCCGAGATTCACACGTGAGGGTTTCCGCATCCAAAGGCCGTGACCCCACAGTATCTTATATTATCACCCTCTGCTCTTGCCCCACAGGAAGCGTTCACTATTTCAGTGACTTAACAAGCCCACCACCAGTACACATACAGAAATATTCCTCCGCCTACACGGGCAGTTTTACCCCACCATTCCTGTCATTTCGTGGTGCTTGCACGTAAGGAGACAGGGTGTCTTACCCAGAATCTAGGTCAGGTCTCAGATGGCCCCTCACCTATCGCTCTCTGCCCCTCCTGCCCCTGCCCACCCTGGCTCAGCTCCCACCGGCAGGGGTAGGCTGGCTCACCTGTGTGTTTAAGACCCGCTGCGGCCCCAACCAGCTCCCCTGAGAGTGAGAGATCGCCCCGCACCTTCACTGCGGACAAGAGACTGGATTGGGGAAGCAATGCTAGCCTCTGTAGAGCAAGAGGGCTCTTGATGAAGTCATAAATCAGGCCTGTCCCTGCTGGGTGTGGTTAGAATCGCTCAACGGCGACACTGCCCATCCCTGCGGACACATCCAAATGGCCCTAGACAGTCCTCCAGCCTGGGGCCCGGGGGAACTCGTGCTTGCCAGACCCTGCAAAGCAAAGGAGGGCTGGCCCACCCTCCTCCCCCTCCTCTTCACCCACGACCCCCTTCTAATCCGGGTGCTTCGTGACTGTCCTTTCACTGTGGTCACAAGACACACGGCATGGAGTGACCAGAGCTATCTTGATAATGGAAACATCCCACCCACACGCGCACACCAAGCACCCATCCCTGCAGCTCACACCCACGAGCCCCCCACTGCCAGAGGCTCCGTTCCAGCTACCCAGGGCTATGTGTTGGGGCCTCCAACCTCCCTTGGGTGCAAGTGAGACATGGGCTCCCTCCTCAGGGATCCCTTCTCCTTGTGATCCTCTATTTCCCTTGGTGAAATAACTCTAAGCTGGTTCCTTCCAGCACAGCTGGGAGGCAGCTGGCATGGGGCCACATCTAGGTGGCGTTACGACCAGCCGTGTGGCTGGTAGTTGATGGATGAAACTGCTCCCTTCACGCCGGACTGGTGAACCCTTAATGCCCTATCCAGCTGAAGGTGAACGGCCGGCTTGACCAAGAAGAATTTAAAAGGCTGTGGGAGCGCCTGACCAAATGCCAGGTATGTGACTTGAACGCTAACTCCAGTCAGACAGTCGTGGTCAAGCTGACTACGAGTCCCAGCAACGCCTTGCATGGTCACAGTTAAACTGTGCGCTCCACAGGGCTTTCCGTGGTTGATTTTCCCAAGATCCCTCCAGGCGGGAACTTCCAGCCATCTGGCTAGTAATCATTTGCAACATTCCTTGTGTTCCTAAAAGAGCTGGGGTGGGTTGGTAAGACATGTAATCACTCCTAGGAAGCACACAGCTACACCTGCCTGGCTGGCAAGCTAGGAATGGTTTGGAGAAGAAAGAGTTCACTGTGGACTGCAGCCAACACTGCCAACTGTTGGCATTTCCCTCCGTGTTGTCTCCCCTGGTCAACTACAATATCTCCCAGGCACTCACCCATCTCTTCCCTTTCCAGCCTGTGTTAGTCTGGGTAGACTACAGAAACAAATCCAGGGGACTCATATGTGTATAAGAAAGAGATCTATATCAAGAAGTATTTGTACATTAAGAAAATATCCCAGTTCAGTCCAGATCAAGTCCCTAAGTCTGATATTAGCCCATATATCCAATACCAATCTATAAAGTCCTCTTCAGACTCAGGCAACACATGCAATGATGCCAAATGCAGGAAGATCATAGGCTAGTGGATGGGAAGTCTTGTGGATCCAGGGGCAGAAGCATCTCAGTGCTGGCATTGGTCTCCCCGCTCAGGACACCAGTTCCATGTGTCTTGTCAGCTGCAATGTCTCCCAGCGAGTGAGCCTGTGTCCCACCTCAAGGGAGCTATTTATCTCCTTAGTGCCTCCAACTGAGGTCATCAAGCTGCCAACTGATGACAGGCTAAACTCCACCCCTTCACTCTTAATCCTCTTAAATTGACAACAGATTATGTAACTACCACATAGCCCATCTGCCAGAAGGCTCTGTCAGGCACACAGATGTGCTGTGGCTCCCATTGCTCTCAGGGCAGTCTTGACTTCTCAGAGTGGTATGCAGGCCTCTATGTGTGGGTCTAGAAGCCCTTTCATTCATCCCAGTCATGCCTTTGAGCCCTCACTGGTCCCTGGAAGCTTTTATTCCTTCGGGCCTGCCTTCCACACCTCCTTCCTAGCACATCTCCTTTGCTAAACCCTCCCTGCAGCTCCAACCTGTCTCCAGAACCCAGTCAGTGCCCGCCTTCTACTTTTGAACATCGCAAGGCAGGCTACACGCCTGTCCTACTTTTTATAGTTATAAATAATCCCTGCTTGTTACAAGGGTCCTGCCAGTTCACCACGGAAAAATAGAATACACACAGGTGAAAATGAATTTCATCAAGGAAAAAAATCTATCTGGCCAACTACAGAGAGATAGTATTCACACCGAGGGAATGCTCTTGGAAGTGTGTCCTGTAACATGTATACACACACGTGCACATACATATTTTGATGAAAGTTCAACCTGCTTAAACTAAATAACTGACCCATGTGTCCAGATTCTTGCCATGTCCATAAATAACTACTTCCATACCAGTTGTAAAGACTGGCTAAAATGCTAACATGTCTCGCCTTCTCCCTGATCTGGGTCACTGCATTCTCTGCCCAGCCCAGTGATGGCTGCCACGTCCACCTTGCATGTGGGTGGGATCCTCAGGACAAGGGCACCACTGTGTTCATCTCCTTTCCTCCACACCATCCGGTGTCTGGCTCCCAAACAGTTCGTAAAGTGACCGACCGATGGATTATGGAATGAATGGATGACTACCTCCTTGGGAGTGTTCCAGGTCTCTTTTGATACTCAAGAACCAAATAAGCAGGGAAAGTCCCCAAGCTGCCACTTCCCAGTCACTGCCTCCCCCACTCAGCCTGTCCCACTCCAACCTGGAAGGTAGGATGCCATGATGCTTAGCGACTACGGGGCTCTCTGTGTGTGACCCACAGGTAGGAGTGAATGTGGAGTTGTCCGAGTCCTGAGTTCTCCCAGTGAACTACAGGTTGGAAAGAGGGCCTAATGGCTGACTTCAAGCCATCCATCGGGCGAGCCCAACAGAGCCCCATTTTGCTGGGACTCACTCAGGGTGAAGGTGGGTCAGAACTGACCTGAGGCCTACTGGTTTTAGGGGGAGTTTTGGCCCCACCTCTTGGCACTCACACCACCACATAGAATCTGAATCTCATCACTCACCAGCAGAGCCACCCCCATCCCCCCACTGCCGCACTCCTCATTCGGGGAAGCAGGGATGGCGATCAGGATTAGAGTGAGAATTAGGTAGAGGGGACACAAAACTCAACCAAACTCACGGCCACGGGGCCTATTCCAACTCATGGCAGCCACGTGGGACAGAGCCGATGTGGCCCTGCAGTGTCTGAGATTGTCGATCTTGACTAGGGTTGACAGCCTCACCTTCCTCCCATGCTGCAGCTTGTCGGTTTGAACAGCTGACCTTGTGGTCAACAGCCCAACTCGTAAGCCACTACACCACCAGGGTTTCTTGACACTGAGTACTGTAATTAGCCCTATACTTTGGGGAAACTGACGCTAAGAGATGGCGTCCCTGGCCAAGTCACACAGCTGGTCAACTGTCAGGCAGTTTGATGGTAGAGCGGGTGTTCTTCATGGCTCCAGCATGCAGCTTGTTGTCCAGAGAGCAGCGAGGCATCCTCTGTGTCTAGCCCAGTTTAGTGGATGAGAGAGGGGACGGGAGGGGAAGGAGGAAGAGAGGAGGTGAGGAGGAAGAGAGGAGGGTGAACGGGCCTGGAGAGGGATCCAAAGGCTAGCAGGCAGGACGGTGGACTCCAGCAGGTGTCACCCACACCTGTCTTCCCCACTCCTCAGCCCCTCTTCCTTGACTCTCCCTGGTCTGAGTCTCACCCACACTTTCTTGAAGCAACCTTCAAGGATTACGAAGGGGCTGCCAGGACCTCCCTGACCCCGGTGTAAGCTGGGCTCACACGAGCTCCTTGCTTCTTTTCCCACATCAGGCTGTTTTCCAGAACACTCGGAGGAGCTCCGGAGATCTCCTGAGTGCGGATCTGTGGCAGGCCATAAAGAATACAGGTAAAAGGATAGCTTTGCTCAGGGGTGATCCAGGCCGTGCTGTGTGTGTCCTCTGCTCCCCTAGCCTGCCATGAGCGAGGCTGGCTGGTGGAGCAATGCTGGGCAGTTAGCAGAGAGAAGAGCAGCAGTGTCCATGCCCCATCCTCTCCTAAGTCACACTGACCTCTATGGGTCTCCAGGCACTGGCCCCAGACTCCATGCCACTCCCCACCCCACCCCACCCGAGACAAGTTCTAGCTCACTGGCCAATTCTCCTAATTGCCTTTTCTCCCCGGCACGGCGCTAGTGATAAGAACACAGCCCGCAGGATAGCGGACCTGTCAGCAATGGCCCTGCCTTACAGCTGCTTCCATCTGGGCATGGGACCATCTGTGTCAAATGCCCACCAGCACACTGGCACACTCTCTTCACAGCGTGTTTGGGGTGACATTCAATCCACTGGGCCCTGTCTGCTCCAGTAGGAAAAGCCTTCAGTCCCGGCATAATGATAATCACACCTTAGGGTGTCCAAGTGCTTCTTAGTTCACGGCAAACACTACTCACAGCATCTCGCCTGATTGTCTGGACCATCCCGCGGTCTGGGATGGGCAGGGACTGTTAGCTCCACTGCACTGAGGGGGTGGGGGTGAGGGGAAGGTTCTTAAAAAGGTTAAGTAAGGAAATTGCTGCCTTCCTTCACAGACTGCAAGAGTGTGCTCTCTCTGGGTCACGCTGTGGGGAGAGCCCCCATCCTTCTGCCTCCCTCCCCCTTCCCTCCCGTGGGCGGGCTGAAGACTAGCTAGACTCATAGGCACTGCTTTCCCCTTCGCATTCAAACCTCCCTCTGTTGCTCAGAGGCCAGACTAGAGCATGCATCAGAATTCCCCAGCGGGCCTGTTACAACATGGATGGCTGGGTTGCAAACCCCCGGAATTTCTGGCTCAGTGGGTTTAGGGGGGGGCGCTCAAGGATTCACCTTCCTAACAAGTTCGGAAGGGATGCTGGTGCCCACGGTCCAGGGACCACATTTGAAGAAGAGCTGTATTGCCAGTTAAAAGGGAAACTTGAAGGGAGACAGCCTAATGAGTCCAGAATAAAGCAAGGGAGTGAAAGAGCCTGGCTGGCAGTCCATTCCCAAGGCTTTGGGCCAGGCAGGCAACTGAAAGAGGAGATTGAGATCAGGGTAAGAAGAGAGGGGGCGTTGGGAACGTGATAGGCAGGAGAGTACATGGCCTGCCTGAAGGCAAAGTCATGCGTTCCTCGTTCTTCTAGGGAAGCCAGATGATCTTGGGTCACGTGAGACCCTCAGGCCACCAGGTTTGTCCCCTTGGTGGATGCTTTGCTTGCCAGCATCCCTTTGCTGCCAGAGCCCAAAGGCCTGGTCCTTTGCCAGTCTGCCATGACCCTGAGGTGGTTGGCATCTCTGAGGAGTTTCTAACCAGATGTGCAGGATGATAAAACTCAAGGTGGCCCGATGCCTCTCTCCTGTCCACCTTGTGAGTTTTCCTAAGGCTGACTTCTTTCCTGGGTGATTGCCTTGAAGACCAGCTCCCTGTCGCCCCCTCCAGTAACCTCACCTGCCCACACAAGGACGTAAACCCACAGCCTGTCACGGGGAGGGAGCAAGGTGGATTTCCCAGGTCACCTGTAGGCAGGGATCTGAAAGAGGTGGGGCTGGGAGGAAACGTATCCCATATGGGAACTAGCACCAATGACACATGGGAACAGGGACCAAAGGACACGGGAAAGGGCATGGCTTCGAAGTCAGTGAGACTGAAGATCTCTTGCTCCCAGAGAAGGCAGTGCCGGCATTAGCTATATAATCATCGTGTCCCTAAGAAGAGCAGTGTCGTGAGCTGGTCTGTTGTCTGAACACCAGAGTAGTATTCCTAGAGTCCCGCAGCCAACAAGAAAAACAAGACCGGAGCTTCTTGGAAAGGCTGGCTGGCAAGGCAGGCTGAGTAGAAAGTAGCAGGGGGTGGGGGAGTGGGGGGGTGGGAAATGCCACTTGGTCCGCTGAACAGGTTTCTCAAACCTGTGAAGCACAAGACCGAAAAGCACCAGCCCCATCTCCTCCTGCTCACTCACTCAACCTGTGGCCCCAGACTTCCTTGCAGGGATCTCCATCAGCAGAGACCTGCTGGAGCTCATGACCCTCCGGTACAGCGACAGTGCCGACAAGGTCAGCTTCCCAAGTCTGGTCTGCTTCCTGATGCGACTTGAAGTTATGTCAAGTAAGTGTCACCTGGGGAGGGGACCGCTGACATCCTGGAAACCTTCCCAGTGACCAAAGGGCACAGAGAAGGGAGAAGACCAACCAGGCCTGGGCAGTTGCCAACATCAGTTATGATAATGCAGTATTCTCAGCCTCCCCTCTTCACCTTTCCTCTCCAGCACGTTCAGCCTCAGTTCCCTCAACTCAACACCCTATAGAGAGAGCCCCTCTTCCAGCAGAGGGTTACCTTCAAGCAGAGCTTCTTAAACTGTGGTTTTAGACCCCATATGAGGTCACACACCTGAATGTGCGGTTGTCTAAAATTTGGCAACGATGAAAGGTTTCTGAGCACACAGAAACCAAACAGTAATTCAAAATCAAACGCACGATGGGTTGCAGGTGGTTGTCAAGCCAGCACTCGCCCCTGCTTCCCCGAGACTTCCCTGCAGCCTTGGTTCTGAACACACGGCATGGGCTCATAGTCACTACG